GCCTGAGTCTCATCTCTCTCCCAGATCCCCACAGGAACTAGAGGCTGCTTCATGCCAGCCCCCAGAGCAAGTCCCAGACATGTGTTGCAGGAAATAAACCCTTCCCCCACAACCTCTCAGAGATTTCCAGCCTTCCTCTGTTGCAGTTTATGCACTACATCCTTTCTGTCTCCTCACAGGATCAAAACTAGTGGCCTCTGAGGAGTTTTGGGGAAGGTGTCCAGCCTTTCTTGTTTGAGAATGGCCTGACATCATCCCGTGCTTGTTCCTGTGGACAGCAGTAATATTTGGGAATTGGCAGTCACCAGTCGGGCTACAGGTGAAAATGGGACTTGAAGTGCCTTCAAGGAGCTTAATTATGTAGAGGCAAGCAAGGGAAGTGAAATAACTAATTCTTAAGGAAGAAAACAAAACATCTTGAAAAATATGTGTCTAGTATTAGTCTGAACTACTGTGGAACCTCTCCCACCTCCAGTCTTAATCTAGGAGGTAGGTAGGAATTTACATGGTTTGGAGATACTTTCTAGGAAACAAGCTGCTAGGGTGAGGGATTTAAAAGGTCTGCCAGTGCTTAGATTCTTGTTACTGACAGGTTTTAAAGAAGTGGCTCCCTGAAATGGGAATCATGATCCTACCTGAACTCAGCTCTCATTTCCACGTGCAATCTGAATGCCTCCAGTAAAGTTGTGGTGGGTGCAGCTGAAAAAGACGTACGCTTCGTGTTCCTTTCCTATCAGCAATTCAGCACCACTGCAGCGTTTCAGCTCTGAAATATCAACCACGTATGTCTGGAGACGGTGCCTCCTTTGAGAGTGGTTCTGTAACTGCAGTATTAAAACACAGGGCTTGTCATTGATTTGAGGGAGAAAAAAAATACCACAAAAAATCCTCTTGGGTTTTTTTTAATGCTCATTGGGTGAATTATAGAAAAAAAGACCACGTTTTTAAAAAATACAGCTCACTAACAGAAAAGGAATGGTCTTCTGTTCAAAATTTCCACTAAGTTTTCTCTACTTTTGCAACTTGGTTATATGAGCTCTCTGTAGAAAATCCTCAGGGGCTAGGATTCAAAATTATTTTTATATAGAAATTGTACATAGAGCACTCACAATTTGTGAGGTCATGTTAAGTGATTCATGGCTAATCCTTAGGGCCGTATTGGCTGTAGACCAGTTTTAATTGAAAGTTTCATTAAATGCTTGAATGGTGGTCTGCAAGCAATGTTGAGGGTTGATGATGCTCTGTGATTAAATTTTTATGCTTGTACTCATTTTTTTCTGTTACTATAGTGTCTAGCAAGTGTTGTGGACATCTGAGATATTTTAAAAGACACAAGTGCCATTATGGAGAGAGGGAGAGAGAGAAAGGAGGTTGCTCTGATGATTGTAGCACATCCCATGAATAAGCAAGGCTGGTGCCTCTGATTCTCCATTGCTTTGCACTTTGCAAAATTACTGTGTAAAAAGGTTGCAAAATGATCACCAGGGCAATTGCAGGTCGAAGCAACACATGCTTACTGCTGTAGGTTCCACCACTGGGGTTATCTTTTCTCCTGATAACTTCGCCTCAGTTCAACTGTCATAGATTTTCTCCAGCCAGAGACATCAGACAGATCTGGTTTCTAAGATACCAAAAGATACATCTTCAAACCAACATTTTACTGTTCGTGTACAGAAAGCTGCACAAATGAAATTAGTCTTGTGTGAAAATAGCTCTAGCTGTGACTTCTGGGCTAACTGTAGTTTCACCACATTCATATCAGCATGCTCTTAACATAAAAATAATCCACCTATGAAGGAAAGAAGTTGCAACTCTAGGTGTTTTTTAAAAAATGTCATTAAAACTGCAGGGAAATTCAGATTAATTTATGCAATGTATTTGTGCACTTGTGATAATCCATCTTAAATTCAAGGAGCAAGCTCTTAATTCTAAGCCTTGTAATACATTAAACTCTGAAATTCAGGCACTGAGAATATAATAATTTATTAATAGGATAAAATGATCAGGAAGTATTAAAAGAGCTGAATTTTTAATACTCTTATTAGCCTTTGTGCAAGAGATGAATCAGTTGTCTTGATGTATTAATAAAATAATACTGCAGATGTTCACTCTTCCTAAGAGTGTATCGTAAACTAACTAGTCAGGATAGGTTGGTTAAAATGCAGGATATAAAATATTGCTCCGATAGCTGTGTTAACTCCCAGAGCATATTTTTTGAGAGACCGTCAGAAGGCAATTTCTAAACAATTCTCAATTGTGACCCATGCACAGATACTCAACAACTGTTAATGGGAACATCCTGTTGCAAAACCAGCCTCAGGCTGGGTAGCTGCAGAGCCAGGGGAGATGTCTAAAACTTCTTCAGATGAGTGCGGAGATTTACCCAGAATGTAAATTCAGCTTTTAATTACGTAAAATAACGTCTATGTTTGATTTGTTATTGCAGTTCTAGAAAGGTTGAAGAGGATGAATATGAAGACGGAACAACTAACCAAAAATGGGTTTTAGCTCCAAAAACACAAGACACAGATGTGACTCTCATACTAAACAAGCTGTTGAGAGAGTATGACAAAAAGCTACGGCCAGATATTGGAAGTAAGTACTCCTTTCTGCACAAGTGAGGAGAAGCATCTATGGGTACAGAAAAAACATCATGTTATATTTTAATTAGTATGCACAAATGTCTGGGAAAGTGGAGATTAAGTTTTTTTGGCAGAAGTTCATTTCCAAGTCAATATTTCGAAAATGCTAATTCTCACGGGAAGATGTGGTGGTAATGTAGGGTACTGAAATTTAGTTTCCTAGTGCAGAGTTTGTGTAGAGATGTGGAAGGGCTAGCTCTAAAGCATTCAGCAGGTCTTTGGCAGAGCTAGGAACATGCTTATCTTTTTGTCACCCAATCCATGCATACAAAAAACTCACACTGAAGAGCTATCAAAACCCCAGAATATTAAACCCAAAAAGTAGGACACAGCAAGAGCAGAATGTGCATCTACTCCCCTCAAAATGTGATTGTGAAAGTTATGTTCCTTAACACTGAGGACAGGCACTAGGATTTGCCTGTGTCTAGGGCAGCTCTAGAGATTTTCTTCCCTAAACCAGAAGGCATCTTATGTCCCAAAGAAATCCGATAAAATGCAAGTGTCTTGTGGGCAGTACTACTACATAGAGGTTTAAAATTTAGATAAGAGCCAATAGATACCTGTATATAACCTTTTTGAGCTCTTTTCCTTTTTTTTTTTTCCGTGTGTATAAAGAGGCTGTGTGTTTCAAACCTGTATTTTTTTGGCGTTTGTGGTTATGCCGTGTTTGCCTCCTTAGATCAGAATGGCTGTAGCACAACTGCTACTCAGTTTGTTCACAGCAAGTTTGCATGACAGAAATCAGAGAGAATTTGTCATTCACATGTACTGCGCCTTGCATATACTTCAGAATTAACTGGGAATGGCGAAGGCTCAAAACAACCACCTGATGTAATTTGCTTTTCCTAAATTTTTGCAGAGATTAGCACTGATTATAAGTGACACTGCTGTTTGCTGGTGGAACGTGTGATATTGATATACTTTCTAGGTGATCCCTTTGCATCAGTTTAGCAGGAAGCAAGAGCCATCTGTGTGTATTCACCACTACAATCATTAGTGTCTCGTAGCTATGCATTAATACATTAGTTCCAGAAAAAAAAACCTGTGCTGTGGTATGAAAGTGTTTTGTTGGGGTTTTTTCATAGCTATTACTTCAATTTTCCAAAGTATTTACAAAGATCATATTTGATAGATGTGTCTGTTTTTATCACTGAGTGACATTTATCTCTCGCTCTCTCCTTAGTTTGTCATACTGGATTTAGCCAAGCTTTAATGTCTGATGGAGAAGTACTTTAATGCGGTTCCCCACCCGTATCAACATCTGGAAGATGTTCTCAGACATATCTTTTATTTTACTTTGTACACTGTATCCTCAGATCACTGACTTCAAGCAGACTAAATTATTTTATGCCTATGTGGGGCAAAGTAATAATTCAAAGTCCCCATGTCAGTTGCCATAAAATCAGTAGAGGTCAGATATATCTTACAGCACTGGAAAATCATTGTTACCAAAATAATTCCTTTTGTCTCTCCACAAACTTTCATAAATCCTGTTTTAGAGAAAGGACTTAAGTTACACAGCTTCTCATATATTGTACCAAACAGAGATTTTACAGTTCTCAACTACATCTATCTATTTCTGTCAAGCATCTGAGTCCTAGGCCATTTTTCTCTTTGATAAGCATCTGGCTATTTCAGGACTTGAGCTGAGTGTTGTTCAGACTTTAGAGAAGTTAGTTCACCTCTGGTTTCTTCCCTGGTCCCTCTTCCCTCCTCTCCTACCTTCGATGCAGATAAATAGCATTGCCTTTTTGAAGCTGAGGAGCTGATGGATTTGTCAAGGAGAACACGAGGGGAATGTTAGAGAATGGGGCATTATATCTAACTTCCCCGAATTGCTGGCTGGTGCCTCACGCACAAGCACATCTTCCTTTCCATCTGGGAGAAGGTACCCTCCAAAGTAGGTGGTTGACTTGTCCTGGCAATTGAACTGTTCCTGCCCTAAAAGTCCAAGTATTAATACAAACCAGTTAATGCATAATACATATCAGTTAAATCACTAGTAAAAAAAGTAGTGGAACAGGTAACGTAGAGCATACAATAATTTGAATTTATAGAAAGCATGGAATGAACCAGTGGAGGAAGAGAGAAGTAGTTCCCAGAATCAAGCAGAAGTGCAGTCGATAAAAGACGCTGAGGGTTAAATCCAGTCAGCTACTCATTAGGGCATTTACATTTGTGCAGTGCTGCCTGTAAGCAAATCGGCTGTCCCACGGGACAGAGGACACTCACCCTTTCATGCCACATTGCTCTTCACTCGGTTTTACAGTCCTTTATTGCAAAACCACTACTTCTAACAGTGGATAACTTTAGCAATGCTCCTGAAGAAATGGTCTTCTTTCTGAATGTAGTCTGAAAAGCCTAGGAAAATACTGACTTCTTTGCACTTTCAAAGGTTAGAATTGCAATTTTTAGATCACTTGGGAACACGCTTTTGCAAGCCAAAGGCCATGGGAAGAGGGAGAAGACTGTGAAAATAGAAGGTATTGAAGTGCATGATGGCCCAGGCAGTGACTTTTCTGTGGTCTTTCATCCTTCCCAGGGCAGCTGATATTTTGGCTAGCTCAGGTATGTACAGGTACTACCTGGCATTGTACAGGCATCTTCTGAATGCCTGCTTGCTGTGCTATGGGTACTGAGTTCTTCAGTAATCACATCACCTCCAGGCCAGTAGAGCCACCAGTGAATAAACTCCCGTGAACAGACATTTAGCCATGCTCCTTTGTCCCCCCTGCCCAGCCCAACTAAACCACTGTAAGGAGCATGTAGGTCAGAGCAAAGATGAAAGGCCAGGACTTGCTCTTTCCTTTCTTTTTTTTCTTACGCTGGCCTATACTTGGCCTAGGCTTTCATGTAAATGACTGGCAGTGAGATCACATGCTCAATCTACACTCAGCAGCACAGGCATCACCTGCAAGGTTCTAAGCCAGGATTTTGAAAGAGTGGGTTGAACAACCTAAGTGTTAGGCAAAATAGTCACCTTCTGAAGGCTATCAGCAGCATGACCCCATAATGGGACCTGTCTAGCTAAAAGGGGCCTTTGGTCTTTGGAAACAAAGCAGTGTTCTACCAGGAGGGGAGTGTCTGACTGCATCCCCTGTGGCCACACACTTGGCAGGGTTCTCGTCTCCATAAATATCACAGCTTGTGAGGGTTTTCATTTTAATGGTGGCATCTGGCAATTTTCTGTTATACCACAGAACATACATGCCTTTTGAAATTTTAAAAAAAAAAAAAAAAGAGAAAGAAAAGAAAGCACATCACACCAAACACCTTCTGTCAGTGTACTGATTAGGTCAAAACCAAAAGTGTTTTATGGAGACAGAGCTTCTTTTCCACCTACTTTTTACCAGCTACATTTATAGGGCTGAGAGTTGTGTTGCATAGTATAAAACACACCAGTCCCAGATAACAAGTAAACATGTTCTGAAATATGAAGGTTTTAAAATCCCTTTCATAGGCAGGTACTATGGAGTTTGTTTCAAAGTCCTTTGAAGTGAAGACCTGTTCAATGGATATGCAACCTTTTTGAAGAGCAATAAGGCTTAATACCCTGCCAGAGTGACGTTTTTCCCCCTGTGTCACACTGACATTTAGTAGGACTAAGTTCTGGTTCTGAAATTTTACTTCCTCTTTATTGATGAGAACAGGAATAATAGGCAAACCAACAGGCCACAGAGTAGAATGATGGTAATTACAGCTAGAAAAATTCTCAATCTTAGGTTTTAGGTTCTATTAATAAACTTGTTTTTTGTCATTACTCTCTTTTTGATTAATTGGTTTAAAATGTAAGTTCCATTAAAAAAAAACCAACCCAACAACAATGAAGGAAACCACAGGTAAATTAAATAGCATACGACAAAACATGCTTCCTTCAAAGTCACTTTACTTTAATGAAACCTTCTTTAATGGACAGGTTAGTCCACAATGGAGTCCTGGAAAATAAAAGCTACCTTTGTCACTCTACATTGTTTCACACTTATCTTCATATGGAATGTAGGTTGCTTTAAAGAGCCAGAAAGTTTGTAACAGTGTATTCTTCCAAAGTGAAAGTTTTACCAATCACATTCCCTGAGTGCGCTTTACCTGTGGAGGATAATATGCTGTCTTTTTATTTCATTGTGAAAGTCACCTTGCCCATCAAAAAGGTTGGTATTTGAGAGGTTTCTGAAATGTGCCATTAGTAGCGGGAGGAAAAAAAATCTCACTCTAGACCAGGCTTTGAGCTGCAGTACTCAGCTGGAGGATGAAGAGCAGTAAGTCTTAAAAGAGTTGTCTTTCAGTAGGTAGCTGGTTTGCTTACCTCAAAGAAAAGATGTTTTTTGCTCTTGTTCATTAAGAAGGAATAACTAATGTGGGCCAAAATTTCAGTGATGCCAAGGCAAAAGTAATGTTAAGACTAGTTCATAAGCTGAGCTAAACTCCAAGCTTCCCTCTTTATCTCAATGTGCTAATGTGAAAGATAACAACACTTCACCAGTAATTTTTAGAGAATGAAACTGTTCTCTGAGCATCTCTAACAAGCAGTCAGTTACCTCAGCACTCTGATTTTGGTGCAAAGCATATTCTAGAACACATATCCTGCAGTCTGACCAGGTGCTCTCCAGCTTTCCTGTGAATACCTGCCCTTTTCCCAAGCTCCTGAAATACTTTCCCCAGAACACAGCAGGACTAGAATAAGGAGTTACACACACTTGTTAGGTACAGACAGAACTGCTGTTCGCTACCTTTCCCCATGGTGTTCCTAATGTGAAAAAGTGGTGGTAGGAAAGTGATACATTTCTGGTGTAGCATTTTTAAAAAATGCCCAAAAAATGATAGAAAAAACCCATCAAAGTTATTTCCCCTGCATTTCAGGCTGTACCAATGATCTTTGCAGTTATTTATATTATACTCTGCCAGGGAAAGTTCAATACTTTCAGTTAGTTTCTATTTCAGAGGCTGGAGCAAAAT